TTGATGCAATCATTACTTCTATCATAATATACTATAACTTCATTGCTACCTTGACGAAGTGGACACACTTGATGATGTTGATATTGACGATGATGTCGATACGGAACTTGAAGTTGAGACACTACAAGGAAAGTACAGTGATTACTTTGAGACATTTGAACATTCCTAATTCACTTCCAAATACAAATCATAAGTGCTAAGATAAAGAGCTTGTGAAGGTCTGCATGACGCAAACATGCAACTTCGCTAGTACCTATCTTTGAGATGAATTCATGATGAGTGTTCCAAAAGTAAGTGATAACTATAGTAAACCGTTAAAAATAGACTGGTAAAAACAAAAGCTTGTTGTTGACTATGTTATCTGTTGATTCCTCCATACCTAGACGTAGTTGCTGTTGACAAACTGGTCGTAGTGGGTGTCGAAACACTCGATGATGTCGATGCCGACGACGATGTTGAAATAGAACTTGATGTTGAAATACTAGAGAGGAAACGAGAATTTCCACATGAATTGTCAAATGTTGATTTTTGTCACTTGAAGAGAAACTTTATACGCCTTAATAATTTGCATTCAACCATTATACTGTGTTACGGGTTAAAGTAATTTTACAAATCGAATTAGTTAAGCATACTCTGTTATACCTTGACGAAGTTGACACACTTGATGACGTTGATATTGACGATGATGTCGACACAGAACTTGAAGTTGAGACACTAAAAGGAAAGTTCAGAGATTATTGATATGATTTTAATCAGGGCGAGGACTTGTGAATGTCTTGAAACAAGTTCATCATATCGTATATGTTTCATCAAGATATTACTGAAAACATGGATTCTCTGATACCTTGATGTGGTTGCTGTTGATAGACTAGTCGTGGTTGGTGTCGATACACTTGATGATGTCGATACCGACGACGATGTTGAAACAGAACTTGATGTCGACAAACTACAAACACAAAAAGAAAGATCGTTTTGAATTATTATTATATTTGAGGATTAGAAAATTATCGTTAAGTATGTTTACGAAGGCTTCGTTCCACTTGTTATGCTCCTAAACTGGGTGTTCATGGTGGAAGAATCGTTTAAACACAATTTCATTCGTTTTGACTTGTCACCAAAGTATTTAAAAAATTATTTTTCTTTGAAATGGACGTAAATATTCTGCCGGTATTAACCGAGATTAAAAGAATAATTGTTTTAGTCTATTCACACGAAGTGATCTCAATAACAGACGAAAAGAAAACCATTAAAAGTCGATCTCAATTAATTGACCTCTCAATTCATTTGTAAAAATATGTGCAAGGAGCGGGAAGCATGCGCGAAACTAGTAACAGATTCTTCAAACATGGCAAATTTAGCTAACATTGGATAAAATCCTTGTCAAAATCTACCAAAATGGTCTTTTAACACCGATCAAATGAGCAGTTGGAAACCAATTTCACCATTCAATCCAGGTTTCAATTGCACTTGATTTGAACTGAAAACTTGAAAGAGTTGTTTCCGAAGGATCAACGTGAAATTATACCGTGTGCACAGGACTGTGTTGAAAACTGGATGTTTTGTTGCACAAAGACGTTCTCTTGAATACTCGTGGAGGTGCTTCGTTTAATAGCACTTGATGTTTCTGCCGATGAACCTTGTGGTATTCATTTCTGATAATGCCGGGTGAAGAGCGATTTGCTTAGATTGATGAAATCTGTGATTGCCAAGGACGTTTACTGAAACTGTTGGAAAGTCCGGCGAACTTCGGTAAGTTTTTTTTTATTCTTTGAAAACTTTCAGGCCAAATTTCACAGCCTACTTTGTATTTTCTGGTACAGAATCTTCTTATATTTTCAGGATTTGAGATTCAGAGACGTGAGTCGGCCATTTTGTTTTTGTTTGGATCGCGTATTATTTATTCCGGAAAGAGTGAATAATGCTCATTAGCAAGATTGCTTGAAACTTCAAGATTACTGAGTATGACTGATCATTTTTTAATAATATTACAGTTCTTTGGGTTAGGTCATTGAAATTTACATTACAACTTCAGTTAGAAATAAAATACTAATTGTTTCGTTGACGAAGTTGACAGAATTAATGATAGTGGCGATGATGTCGACACCGAAATTGAAGTTGAATAAACAAAAAAAGTGTATAAATATAAGTTTGAGATAAATTGGTCAACCTTTTAAGTGGTTATGTTCCGTTACCTTGACGAAGTGGACACACTTGATGACGTTGAGACTGTCGATGATGTCGACAAAGAACTTGAAGTGGACACACTAAAAACAGGAAAATCGATCACCATCATAAACGTTAGAGAGTTATTCTTATAAGCTGCGAAAATAGATAAGTCAAGGAAAGTTTTAATTTCGACATCAACACTCTATAAACACTATTTAATTTTGGAAACTTATAGACTAAACTTTGTTTGTTTTAATTGAGATAAAAATATAACCTCACTTAAAATAGTAATTACACATTACCTTGATGAAGTGGACACACTTGATGATGTTGATACTGACGATGATGTCGACACAGAACTTGAAGTAGACACACTAAAGTCAAAGAAAATTGCTATTTTTAAAACAAAATCGATAACGGCAACAAAATATGACGGCTTTGTGAAATCAAGCGGGGTTACCATGATATATGGACTGGTCCTTCTCTGAGAATCATGTAAAGCCAAACTTATTGATTATTTTAAGCAATTCTTTTGCTTAACTCGAATAAGCCCTTTTGGTAATCCAGTTTAGTTATCTACTACAAGCAGTGAATTTCAACGTGAGGAAAACTGTAGTGTACAAGATCTTACTTTGATCTAATAGTTGAAGCCAACCAAATACATTACCTTGAACTAGTGGGCACACTTGAACTAGAGACGCGAAAGAGCAAAATACTGACAAAATAGATTTAAACCTTAGGCGGATAGTTAAAAGTAAATATAAAATAACTTAAGAGTAACTAGTAAAATCTAAACAGTGAAGAAAACTACAGTTTATTGGATGTTTGCAACCATTGATTCTCTAATATCGTGTCCCCACTCCAACGACTCATTTTAATGTTACTGTATACCTGTCTAACGTCCTAGTGATGTAGTGCGTCCGGTTTAGACTGCTGATACCTAAATCCCTGTATAAAGTCTAAGCTTATTTAGGTGGGTATAAAATTATACCGGCGAAGAATTTCGAAAGAAAATGAATTGTCGAATTTGTCTTGACCTCTAAATGCGAGCGTTCGAATCATCTTTTGCAAGCTACAAGTCCAAGCGAATTTGATAGTTTGCTTTCAAATTTGGACAGCAGCTACCTTAACATACAAACAAAAAAACGTTGTTTCGTTCGGAAATTTTTTTTCCAAAGACGATTTTTGTACGATCACTCCACATTTTTTAAAAATCCTATTTCGAAAATGTTCTGCAACGTTTCACTGCAACTGAATATTGCAAAGCGCAGACAGGTTTTTTAGCCCTTCGGTCCGGAAACTTAGGAACAAATTGAATAAGCGAACAAAAAAAAAAAAACACTGACTTGTACCTTTCAAAACGTGATTCGGACGCTAGCAATTTGACGTCGTGAAAGTTTTTTCCTTCCAAAATTCTTGGTATAATTTAATTTGGTATAGAGGCTTAGGTATCTACAGTTTAAACCGGACACAAAGTAAACATGGACTGCAACGATAACAATGCAAAATCTAGAATTTTTAAAGTAGGTTAGAAGCCATGAACAATTTTTTTTCCCTTTCAAAGACGTCTTGTCTAGGCTCGTGGTCTCACTTTTAATTTATTACCGAGGGAGATCAAAAGATTGCGTATTTTTAACAAAACACAGTGAGACTGACCAGGGAAAAAATTGCAGTCTGCAACTCCATTTCTACACCTGCCCCAAGAGGATGTTTTACCAGGAAAGTTTTAAAAGTTATTAGTGATTTGTTATTCTAAGTAAAGTTCTAGAACAAAAACAAAGCGAAAGTATAGTATTTGCATGCTCCTTTGTCCATAATGGACACAACAACAGTAAAGGTTACCAACCTGCTTGTTAAAGTGATAATGTTTGGTGGTGTCGATTTAATCGAAGAAAAGGTAGTGAATCTCGTTGATTTCCTACTAACTGTCTGTTGTCCTTGACTTGAAGACGATGATGAAGCAGAACTTGTTGTTGACACAATAGAAACAAACAAAAGGAAAGTTTAATACAGCAAGAGCTTAAGTCATTTTTATATTTCGATATCAGGAAAATATTGCTATTCTAGACCAGTATTTCAGCTGAACTGAGTACACAGGCTTGAACAATCGTTGTTGAAAAAATAAATATGTCATTTACAATTATTTAATATCTCATTACCTTGATGAAGTGGACACACTTGATGATGTTGATATTGATGAGGAAGTCGACACAGAACTAGACGTTGACACACTAAACGGAACATAAAGTTATTGGTTAAAAAATTCAAAGCCGTTCCGAAATGTAACAATTCAAAACAGTTCTCAGCTAATGGCTAAAAATAAAAAACACATGGGTTAAGACACTTGTAAATTGTAAATATGCGAGTCATAATAAAGTTGTTGTCGCTGTTGAGACTGAACTTTTAAAAGTCTCCAAGGCAAGGAAACTAAAAGTGTCTAGATCTCGCTTTGATCTAATAGTCTAAACCTAGAAAACACATTACATTAATGAACTGGACACAGTTGATGATGTTGATATTGACAACGATGTCGACAACGAACCTCACGTTAAACAACAAAAGGAAAGACTGAGCTTCTTAGATTAAGTTAAAATAAAAGCCAGCTAAATCAGATAATCCTTTACTACCTTGATGAAGTGGACACACTTGATGATGTTGATATTGACGACGATGTCGACACAGAACTGGAGGTTGACACAATAACAGGAAAGAAAAGCCATTATTTACAGAAAATAAAAGATGTACAAATCACGT